CCTAATTTCTTGATCTGTAACATGAGAACAACTAGATTAGGTGGCATGTCTAATTTTTTAAGCATGATCTATGGTTTTTTAAGTAGTTATTTTAGTTCTTAGTGAGAACTTCAAAACTGAGTGGAACAAAGAAAAATTCTGTGGATTGGAAATATTTGAAGTATTTAAAGGTTTTTCATCATCTTGCCAAAAGATGTAGAAAAAAAAATTAAATAAAAGGTTACTCAAGTCAGATATTTATTAAGCATCTGATTGTAAAAATCTAGTCCATTTTGTAATAGTCATTGTTGGGAGCAACATATTCTTACCATGTTACTCAACAAAATGACTAAAATGGTGGTATAGGGATGAAGACTTACTGGCATTGGCTTGCTTATTCCTTATGCTGTATTTTCTTTGTGTTATGAAATTGACTCTGAAATTTTTACTATATAGAAACCTCACTATAATGTCCTCTGGATCTATGCTATGGATCCACCTTATAGATAAAATTATCATACTATCAAAAGTTCATGAGTGAGTAGCTGATCCCTCTTATATTCTCTGGTCCTCCATGCATCCACCTGCTACAGTTTTTCTTTGTTGTAGTAGAGTTCAAGTGTATATGCTTTGTATTCATTATGAAAAAGTAATTATGTTCATAACAGAATTTGAGCTAGAAGAGTAAAACTGCTGTTCCTAGTAGACATATGTAACTAGTTTGAGAGAAATGCATGAGTAACAAAACAGCTATTGTTTAACATTCGTCATTCAAAAATGGCTATAATTATCTACTGTCTAATATGCTTTGCTGCCCAGTGTAAAGCAGAAAATTATTGAGCTCTATTCGAATTCAGTTTCCTCTTTTAAAAACAACATCAAAACCCCTCAAAGCCTTAAATCAGGTAAGGTATTTCTTTCACAATCCATGAGGAACTAAATGGTCTACAGAATTCAGAGATCTTAGTTATGCTAGACAGGTCACGACACTTAACTACTACTTTGGAACAAACAGGTAACAGTTTTTGGCTGTAGGTCATGTTGTGTCTGAAATTGAGAGAACCTTGAGTTTTAGGACCCAGAAATTCGTAGAGCCTAGAATGGACAGAGCCCCAGGAGAACCAGTTGTATTAGATTGACTCTTAGTTTGGGATTTCTTGCTGTTTCTGGGCTTTGTTTTTATATATTCTTCTGACTGAGGTAGATGTGAATCCTGTCTTGGGAGTAGTGTTGTATATCTGATAATTTACTTATATATGTGTGTGTGCATTTATGTTGAGGGATGGTGTCATAGTGGATAGAGAACTGGCCTCCAAACCAGGAATACTTGTGTTCATTTTCAGTCATTTACTGATTGATACTGGCTGGGTTAACCAGTGGCAAGTCATTTAATCTCTTAGTGCTGTAGTTGCCTAGAGTCTAGGTAACTCTTTAAGACTGGAAGGTTCTAGGGCCTGGATTGATAGGAATTTTTTTGATGTTGAGTTCTTTATACTAGTAAAATCACAGCTTTAGAACTTGTCCATGGCCCTATTCCTGTGTTGGTCAACATGGTGTATTGGAAAGAACACTAAACTAGGAAGTCAAAAGATTTGGGTTGTAGTTCTTGAACTAGCTTTGTGTCACTTATGTGGTACGTAGCAAGTAAGTACTTAATAAATGCTATTTATTCGTTGTGTATTTGTTTTCATTTGAAACTAAGATTAGTGGCAGAGATGTAAAACCAAGGTTCCAAATTCCTAGCCCATTGCTTATCTGTATAAAGTGTATTAAATTTGCTGAAAATTTTATGTAAGGTAGTTCATTTACACACACACACACACACACACACACACACACACACACGTGTGTTTGGCCTGTAAGGTGTCCTTCCCATTTCAAAGTCTGTGAACCCCCCGAGTATATGGGCACAGATTTAAAAAAAAAAAACATTGATGAGATTTGTGTATTTGAATGTATGGTACCACACTTTGAAGCAACTTATTTATATTGTTGTCAAAAATTGTAGAGGCCAAGAAAGATGAGAACTGAGAAAAGTCCATTGCCTTACTCGTTGGTTTTTTAATAAGCTGTTTTACTAGAATGTTTGGGGTTAGAAGCTAGATTGCAATGGTAGACAAATAAGTAGATGGTGAGGAAGTATTGGCAGCATTTGAGTATATAATTTATTGGTGAAAAAGAGAAGTGTTATAGGATGATGACTTTGACAGGATGTCGGAGTCAAAAGACTTTCATCCTTTAAGGAAAGGAGAGACAGACCTAAGCATGTTGATTCAACCTGGCTGTTGAGGAGGAGCCAGTAAATAGGGACTAAGGTAAGAGAAAATGATCCTTCAGGTAATAGAAATTCCAGCACCTTCCCACTTTTTTCCATTTTAAAACTAGGGCAAAACTTAATCATCTAAAACTTTGACAGGAGTCATGAAACAACTATAAACATAATTCTTAAATGCATCCATTACTACACTTGTTTTTAAAAGAGGGAAAGATGAGAGTTACTGCTCTTCTGTAATGCTTCACCTCCTCTACCTGTGTCCTTAATCCCTCTCTATTCATGATCTCTAGAATGGAATCCTTTGCCCCCATATTTATCTCTATATAATTTCCAGTTTCTCTTCTGTTTTCTTTACCTTTCAAACGCCACTTTTTTTTCCAATAGCCTTCTGCATTCTACCTCCCATTCTTAACACTATATTGAAGCTGCTTTTTTAAAGATCAGCAATCCATTATCTTTTTACGCTTTTAAAAATTCAGTGTTTTATTTTAATGCTTTTTGTATTTACAAAAGTCATTTTCATCTCAATACCTATTCTCTGTTGGATCCTGCCTTGTGGCAAAATGGTCTCCTTCACACCTTCAGCTCACTCCACCTCCATTTCTACCATAAGGGAGATATGTTTCATTATTTTTTCATTGGGATGTTCATCATCATTATTATTATCGTTGTGATAGTGGTGATTTAAAAATTTTTTAATATTCAACTTAAATTTCCTTTTAATGAACTTTTGTTTACACATTTGTAACAAATTTACACATAGTTTTCTTTGTTCTGACTGTTTCAAACTATCAGTTCATAATTATCTTCCCCTAATTCTCTGAATCCTTTGTTATTTCTTAAGGCAAAATAATATGTATTGCCTTTATATGCCGCAGGTTTTTTTTTTAGCCATTCCACAATTGATAGGCACTTTGTTTCTAATCCTTTGTTATCACAAAGAATGCTGCAGTGAATATTTTAGAATGTTTTGATTTGTGTCTTTGACGTCCTTTGGAGTACATATGCTTATTAGTGGAATTGCTGGGTCAAAGAATTGCGAGAGTTCTTTTAAAATTCTATATTGAAGCTCAGAATAGTTATACCACATTACAGTTCCACAAACAGTATACCAGTGGTCCTGTTTTCCCACAGCCCCTCTTACTGTTTCTATATTGTCATCTTTGCCAATTTGTGTGATGTGAGGTGAAATTTTAGCGTTTTAATTTCTATTTCTCTTACTTTGGATTTGGAGAATTCTTTGTGTAGCCATTTATAGTTTATAATTCTTTGGAAAATTTTGTTCACATCCTTTTTACCACTTATCTACTAGGGAATGATATTATATATTTGTGTCAGTTTCCTGTCAGTGATATTTGATGCAAATCTGTTTCCTATTCTATACTTTCCTATCTTCACTAATATTATTTTTGTAAAAGCTTTTATTTTATGTTGTCACAATTATCTGTTTTATTTTTGATGTTTCTCTATCCTTACTGCCACTACTTATATGCCTGATCTCTTCTCATTTTCTAGCATTTTGGATTCCTACCAACCATATTACCTTCTTTGACAGTTTTACCCAATCCAGGAGCCTTTTTTCAACTCTGTAATGTGATATGTGATTGATGATGTGCTTCTTGAAATACTTATTTCATCCTTTGGCTTCCATGGCATTACATTTTCCTTATTATCTTCTACCTAGTTTCTTTTTTAAGTCTTTTAAATGACTTTGATTTTTGTCTCTTTTGTGTCCCCACCCCCACCCCCCCTTTGAGAGCTCAACTGTATTCACTGGCTCACTTTGGGCTGATTACCAACAATTTCCCAGTCATCCAGATTTGAAGCCTTGGACTCATCTTTAAGTCCTTCATCTTCTAATCTGATTTCCCAACATATCCTGTTGCTTATTGTTTGACAATATACATAGCCAGTCTGTTTCTTCCTCTTCTGGCCCTCATCACCTTATACTCAGTTAGCTGTACTAATCACCTGAACTGATAATTCTGATTCTGTTCTTTTCCAGTCTATTTTGTTTACAGTTAGACTTATTTAGACTTCCTTTTAATTCTTAATACTTCCTTTTTCTAACTACATCAAGTAGCAATTCCTTTTTGGCTTTCATGGATCACATATTTCAAGCTGAAAAAGATTTAGAAATTATATAATCCAATCCCCTTATTTTGTAGATAAGGAAGCTGAGGTGAAAGGACTTGCCTGAGGTTCCACATCATTTGTACTAAAGTCTTCTGTTTCCAAATGCAGAGTTTTATGTTTTGTTTTTTACTGCCTACCCAACTTTACATTACCTGATCTTCCTAATAATCATCTTTCATGTTAATTAAGTCAATATCTTTACTTTGGCAGCACACATAAGTGCTAATTCTTGCCACTGTGCTTTTTGATCATTCCTGCTTCCCTGTCCTGGAATGACTTATTAGTAAATCCCCATTTAAGTTCTCCCTATCCAAATTCTATCCAATTCAGATTTGTCTTTTCGCATAGAGTCTTAAAATATAATTACTCCAGCATTAATTTATCATTCTTTTCTTTGAATTCCTACAACACAAAAGTCTTTAACTAATTCTGTCCTGCCTTGATTGTTTTTAGTGTTAATTGTGACTCCCCAACTAAATTGTATGCATCTTGAGGGCAGGGACCTTGTCTTACACTTCTATTCCCTCACATCAGCTACCCTAGTGTTGAACACACAGTAAGCGCTTAGTGCATACTTGTTGATATTTACTCTTTCTTTCCTTTTTTTTAGATGGAGAACTTAATGTTCTGGATGATATTTTGACTGAAGTACCTGATCAGGATGACGAATTATATAACCCTGAAAGTGAACAAGATAAAAATGAGAAAAAGGGTATGGGAATTTTTCATTGTTTTCTAGGAAAATAGCTATAGTGAAAGCTGTTGTTTTATAGTGAAAGTAAATGTTTTGATTGCCTAAGAAAAGAGTTTTGACTTACACCTGGCATTTGTTAGAAGCACATTTGAGGGCATGGAAGAGCAAACTACTAGACAAGAATAATTTTCTCTAGATAAGTGTGTGAAATTTCTCAAAAACATTCTTAGAAATCATTTTAGAGACTGATTTTCAGGGTATTTTGAACTAATATATTTTAGTGGACAAATTTAAGAACCCAGGGCTTATATTTACAAATAATTATTGTTGAGAAGCCTTACTCTTTTTATTTTTCCCTGTGAAATGTATGCATTACATTTAAAGTGTTTATAGCTTTTAAAATTCTCTTTTTAAGGTTCAAAAAGAAAAAGTGACCGAATAGAAACTACTGAAAGCAAGAGACAAAAACCTTCTGTACATTCAAGACAGTTGATGCCAAAGCCATCTAGCTCATCTATTAGCAATAACAAAAGAATAATTAGTACAAAAGGAAAGCCAGTAACAGAGTATAAAAATGAAGAATACCAGAGGTCTGAACGAAAGACCCGTTTATCAAGTGGCAGTTCCAGAGAGCCATATAAAAGTCAACCTGAAAAGACTTGTGTCAGGAAAAGGGATCCTGAAAGAAGGGCCAAGTCTTCTACACCAGATGGTTCACAGGTAGTAAACATTTTTGCAAGTATAAAAAGAAAGCAATTCTCTGATGCTTTTGTGAATGAAGCATTTTCTATTAGAACTATTTGTGCATCCTGATGGTATATATTGTATGACTGCTGATTCCCTTTTTCTTTAAACATCAGAGAATTAGGCATGATGTGGATAGACGGCACAGCAGATCAAGCCTTTCTTCTAAAGAAGAAGTAAACTCTGAAGAATATGGCTCTGACCATGAGACTGGTAGCAGTGGTTCTTCTGAAGAGCAAGGAAACAACAGTGAGAATGAGGAAGAAGGAATGGAAGAAGAGGAAGAGGATGATGATGATGGGGAAGATGAAGAAGAGGTAGAAGAAGATGGAGAGGAGGAGGATGAAGAGGAGTATGAGCAAGATGAAAGAGACCAAAAAGAGGGAAACGACTATGATACTCGAAGTGAAGCCAGTGACTCTGATTCTGAGTCTGTATCTTTCACAGATGGGTCAGTCAGATCTGGTTCTGGCACAGATGGATCAGGTATATGCTACAGCTGCAAATGAATACTTTTTTCTTTTGCATTGATTTGATTAGCTTTTTTTTTTCTTGAATGCATCCAGACTGACTGAATAGACTTCAAGAGGACAATCATAGTATTTAAATTTAGAGCTTGAAGGGATCTAGTCCAATCCCCTCATTTTACAGATGAAGAACTGAGGGCCCAGATAGTTGGTGTGACCTGACCAAAGTCACACAGTTAGTAACAGGTCCTCTTACTCCAAATCCATCACTCTTTTCAGTGTACCAGACAGCGTCCCAAATTGACTATTGACTTACTTTCATGCAGTTTCCAGGATACAGTCAATTAAGATTTGAGTGTGTATGTAAGTAGATGTAAGATTACATTATGTTATCTTCAAATAATTTCACAACAGTAATAAAGTTTTGAGTGCATTGCTAGAAATTACACTGCTAATCCATGTTAACTAAATAATGGAGGATGCCTTCCCTTTTTGTAGTGAATTGTCAAAGTGCTTTAAATATAGCAAAGAGATTTGGTATATATTGTTGCATCTTCATGTTCTAGCTCCTGCGTTCTTTAAGAGAAAATGGCTAGATTTTGAATTGAAATGGGTTAAGGTGAGTTGAAGGATAGTGGCTTTTTGATCGCAAAACACGTAGTATATGCTATTGCTTAGTTTAGTTCTCCCACTTCCTACTTCCTATATAGGCGTAAATACTTGTAACAAATGGATGCTCTAGGGCCTAGAGAATATTGTATTTGCTATCTGAAAGTAGAGTCATCATAAATAATTTGTGATCAATTAAAAAGGCATTTTAATGATCAACTTTGGAAATAATTTTATGTGGAATATATCAGTAACTTTTTTTTTAACCTTTATCAAGAAAATACTTCTAGCCTTGAAAGTAAACCATAACTTAGTAAACTTTGATAATGAGACAATTTTAATAGAATATTTTTATTAGCTATTTAAAGGGGATGCATTCCTGCAAAACTTACTTTTCAAATAAGGGGATTAATTTGAACCTTCTCTGGGTTTATTTGCTATCTAAATGAAACAATTTCCCCGCCTAAGACCTCTCATTATATGCAAATTAACCATTTGTGTATAGGAAAAGATACATTAGGATGCCTAGACTCGTAATCTATATCAGTCATATATCAGTTTTTTTTTGAAATTTCACAGTAATTCACTGTGTTGGCAAAGTTGTTATTGGTCAGGAAGGAGGGAGGGTGTACAGTTGAGGGAGGAGATAAGAATGAGTTACTAGTTTATAGCTTTCTATTTTTATGAATATGTATGTATTAAAGATTCACGTTTTCATAGCTGAAAGTAGGTAAATATTCTTTTGTCTCTGGGAAAGTCCTATTTCTTAAATTGCTTTTTAAAAATAAAATTTTGCTAGTAGACATTTAAATAAGAATCATATCTTTTCTTGAGTGACGCTATTACTAATGATGCTGTTGATAGGCCGAGGAAAAGGGCCTTGCAGTTACCTTATTTATTTGGTTTCTCTTTTCTTCCACATCACAGTAGAAGTAACTATTAGTACTTTATAGCCACAGACTATTGGGGACAGTCTTAAAATCTTAAATCAGGTTTGATGTCCCAAGAAAATGAAAGTTGGAAAGTGATAGTAGTTTCCCCACCCCTGGGGGGTGTGTGTGTGTGTGTGTGTGTGTGTGTGTGTGTGTGTGTGTGTGTG